CCAGAGCTTTATAGTCTTAACTGCAGAGGTCTCAACTGAAACTGATATATTCGACTTGCACACAATCTCTACCCCTCCTCACTTTAAGCCTAGACACAATTGCTCAAATGCCTAAATGTGATCTATTTATACATAGAGATGGGAACTAGCAGCTGATGTTTTAGTAGTATAATTGATCTGATATGTAGTGAAGTGTACAGATTCATAGCTACAAAATAGTTTTCAATGCTTTCCTATGGGAAATGCAGATTCAACAGAAGAACTTTTCAACTTGAGAACCACCTTCCAATACGGATTAAGTTCTTAAGTAGAGACCCCACTGTATTCGACTTGCACACAATCTCTACTCCTCCTCACTTTAAGCCTAGACACAATTGCTCAAATGCCTAAATGTGATCTATTTATACATAGAGATGGGAACTAGCAGCTGATGTTTTAGTAGTATAATTGATCTGATATGTAGTGAAGTGTACAGATTCATAGCTACAAAATATGGCTGACATGTCAAAACAAAAGTCTGATGTGGTTTTTGATAGTGAGCTCTTTCTGAACCGCTATATGATGAGGAACACTGATAATTATTGTTGTGGAAATAATAAGCTGTACTTGACAGATTCTAAAGATGCTTTTTTATTGTGATGGCATGTCATTTTAGGAATGTTTAGGAACGGCAAACAACTATTCCACATATACATTGGCAAAGCCAAGCTTTATAAATTCTTGCTGGTGCATGCACACATTTGCATGTGAACATCTGCTAGGTGTTTTGAAGCATTAGACTTTCTAAAGTGCCTGGAACAATAGAAGTTAAATGCAGCCACTGCTCATGACATGAGGTGAAATTACTGGAAGGCAGAAATTAATCTGTAAGGGCAGGAGGAAAATTGGCGGGTGTTTCTGCGGTATTGGACAGCACTAATGAGCTCTGTCTGGCTCAGAATAAAATGCTTGCATTGGGTGAGAGTCGAGAGATGTGAAACCATTAGGTTTAGCTTTTATAGCACAGGAATGACACCTGCAACTAGCTGGGGATTTAATTATAAAATAGAGAAGGGAACAAAAAAGATTGATGTCAGTATGTATGTGAGAGTGTATTAGGCAATCGGACCAACAGGTTCTTCTTTCTGCAGTTTGTGTGGTAACAATGGAAAACCCTTTGGAGTGGCTAAATTTGGGAATGGTAGAAGGTTTAGGGATGAGGACTGTAGATGTTTTTAAAGATAGAAGTATTGTAGTTAGGATGTTTGGGGCTGCCCGTGGTAGTGGGTGATAGTTGGGTGATGGAGAGAAATCAATGCAGTTAAATTAATGGGAAGTCTAATTTTTCACTTTCTCCAGTTACTGAGAATCTTGCAGCCACCTACAACACCTTTAAAAAAAAGCATTTAGCAGATTTCTCTCCTGCAGTTTCAGCATCTTTGTCAGTCCTAAGAATTACTTCTAGTGCCAGGGGTGAAAAAAAAATCTACATTCAGGCATTGCATTACTTGTTTTTATTTCATTTATGTGGAATGACGCTTGTGCGTCCATCTTTGCAGTTTCTGTGATTCACACAGACTAGTTCTGCGCTTGTGTGGAGCCACCTATGAAAAATCTTTTACAGCTGAGTAGCTTGTGGCGGGAAACCCACATCTGTTCACCTGTTAGGCATATCCAGGCCATGCTCTAATGCTTTTCTCCTCAGTACTTTTCTGTCCACTGCAAAAGCATTATCAAACAATGCCTTCTCGGAGAGTTTCCATCTCTCTCTCTTCTCTCTCTCTCTCTCTCTCTCTCTCATTTCCTTACTCCTCCTTTTTTCTTTTTTTTTTAAAAAATCATTCTTTCTTCAGACTTCGTAACCTTGGTGACTCTTTTGAGAAGATGCATGGCACATGGGGATAAGGCCCACAAAAAGCTTATCTATAAGCTGCCTAGAGTAGTCTTATAGGCCAGATGGGCGAGGTATAAAATCAAATCAAATCAAATCAAATCAATCAATCAATCAATCAATCAGTCAATCAATAATCTGGTCTTGGTGAGAACCACCTCATTATACTGTGGCTTCACTAAAATGGATTTGTGAAACAGACAGGGAATCCACAGCATCCATTTGTCTGTCTGTCTGCGCTATCTTTTTCCAGCTAACATTGTGATTGAGTCTTTGATATCTTTTTAGACAGTTCAATTGTGCACCTTCATGCAGTTGCTCTACTTTTTTTTCTCCAATTTCTTCTGGGAATGTGTGCCCATGTGTGTGTGTGCATCCTTCTCTCCCCTTGCTCTTATCTTGGTCCACCGTTCTGCTTTCTCACACTTAAAATGGGAGGGGGAAATTGGGCATGGCTTGCCGTGGTGGTGGGTTGTTCCGACTGTCTTGAATAAGAATGGAATACAGTGGACCTTCGATTTACAGACGGCTCGACTTGCAGACTTTTCGAGTTACAGACTTCTCTGGCCGCAAAATTTAGGTTCGACTTGCAGCCGGAGAATCGACCTACAGACTGGAAATAAAAACAAAATGGAACAAAAATGGCCGGTTACAGATTAATCGGTTTTCAATGCATTGTAGGTCAATGGAGCCTCGACCTACAGACTTTTCGACCTGCAGCCACCGTTCCAATACGGATTAATTCTGTAAATCGAGGGTCCATTGTACTCCATCCTGTTTTAGATCTCCAGGAATTGAACCAGTAGATCAGTGTCAAGACGTTTTGTATATGATAAGGAAGAGAAAGAGGGATTGACTGACCAACTCCATGGGCCCCCATAAGGCAGTGCAGCTGTGGCTGAGAAAAAAGGTGGGGAAAAGGGGGGGAGTTTTCTCCCTTCCATCTTCCAAATCTTTACCCCTATGTTTTCCCCTGATGCTGGTAATACTGCCACAAGCTACTTTTCCATTTCTGGTAAAGGCACTTCCTGATTTGGCAGTCGAGTTATTTTACACTTTTGTACTAAGTGAGAAGACCAGGTTCAAGTTATAGTGCAGAACTACAGATTGTAATATTATACTACTACAGTACTAGAAATAGGATTTTGGGATTTTTTGGATGACAAATCTGATAATTGTCCATTCTGAGAGTTCTGTCGAACAGACACACATCTTACAGATACCTAAATGTGGTACACGAGTACGGAAAGACCTTAACTGGAAAGCTTTGAGATCAGCCAGGTTTCCTATTCATGCCATAGAATGGAAAATTATGGGATTTGTACTAAAAATCCCAATCATGTTTAGTAGGCCTTCTATCTGATCCTTGGCATTTATTTTCCAGTGTGTTGGGTCATGGGACTAGATAGCTAAATTCTGTGAAATTTTTTTAAGGAAGCAGAAGATATTAATCTGTAAGGTAATCTAATTTTTTCCATTCCATATTTCTGTGAAGTAGAGATCCAGTAAATCATTGTTTCAGATGATAAACCAGCAGATGCACAGGTTGTTCCACTACATTAGCTTCTTAACATTTTGTTTTATGTTCTGAGAAAGGAAATGGGGGGAAAAAGTACATATTTCATCAGCTTGTGATCAAATTCTGTTCCCACACATTTGATGGAATGGATCCCAGTGTAGGCTACGATGATCATTTTAATGAGTGATACTCAGGTTTTCTTAAAATTTAAAAAAATAATTTTGGCAATTCCTTTTTCTCTTGACTAGTCAAATAAATACTATGGTTTTCAGATCTTACTGTAACTTTTGGTGAATAAATACATACATTATGATGCTTTAAAATAGTTCAACTGGAATGCCATCACCTCCACTAGCCTTGTTGTTAGACAAGCTTTCTAAGGCCCACTTGATGTCACTCTCCAAGATGTCTGGCTCAAGCTTAGCAACTATACTCTCTGGGTTGTCCGGGACATCCAGATCTTTCTGATATAATTCCTCTGTGTATTCTTGCCACCTCTTCTTGACGTCTTCTGCTTCTGTTAGGTCCCTACAATTTTTATCCTTTATCAAAATGTTCCTTTAACATCTACTATTTTCTTGAATAGATCTCTGGTTTTTCCCTTTCTATTATTTTCCTCTCTTTCATTGCACTGTTCATTTAAGAAGGCCCTCTTGTCTCTCCTTGCTATTCTTTGGAAGTTTGCATTCCATTTTCTATAACTTTCCCTATCTCCCTTGTATTTTGTTTCCCTTCTCTGCTATTTGTAAGGCCTCGTTGGATAGCCACTTTGCTTTGTTGCATCTCCTTTTCTTTGGGATGGTTTTTGTTGTTGCCTCCTGTACAGTGGGGTCTCTACTTAAGAACGTCCCTACTTAAGAACAATTCTACTTAAGAACAGCTCCATTTGCTAAATTTTGCTTCTACTTGAGAACAGAAATTCTAGATAAGAACAGG